TAGACGGGTGACGATGCCTGAGTGTTTCCTAGGTGAGTTGAAGGCCGGTAGCGAAGCCACGCTGCCGAATCGCGGCAGGTTGTTGGCAGCCAGGCGGTAGGCAGTCCGACGGCAACATAGACTCCGCAGGCGACGAGGAAGCAGCCAAAGTAGTGTACGCCTGAGGAGCTGTCGGAGATCAGCAAGCCGTACCCTATGATGGTAACGCAGGTGAAGGCTATTGTGAAGACGGCTCTCTTCTGCCATCGATCACTGAACCAGGCCACGATGAGGTATGTGATTGCGCCCAGCGCGTAACATGGGATAGTCAATGCCTGCACCTGCGGGCCCGTCCAGTCTCCGAAGGCGGCGATGATGGTGGGCAAGAAGGTGCTGTATCCGTACAGCACAGCGTCGGTGCCAAATTGCCCAAGGCAGAAGAGGTAGATGGTCCAGTCCTTTGCGCCCTCCTTTGCATCGGCAATATGGAACAGTTGCGCGGAGTCTGTCTGGCCGATCTCACGTCTTCGCCGGGCCTTTCCAAGCTCCTTATCCTCTTCGGTCAGGTAGTAGGCCGTTTCTGGGTCGTCTGCGAGCCCAAACCAAGTAGCAATGCCAATGAGGAATGATGGGATGCCTTCGAGAATCATGATCCACCGCCATCCCTTGAGGCCAGCGGTGCCGTCCAGAAACCCGATGGCGTAGGCTAGAAGACCGCCGCACGCACCGGCCAGGGCAGCGGCGCTGAACAGGTATCCTACTCGCAGGGCGATCTCCTTCTTGCCGTAGAAGAGCGTCATGTAGGCGATCAGACCCGGGAACAGGCCGGCCTCAACGGCTCCCAGGATGAACCGGCAGACAACCAGGCCGGCGAAGTTCTGCGTGATGCCGGACAGCGTCGCCACGAGACCCCATACCGTCGTTATGACCGAGATGTAGCGGGAGGCAGTGAATTTCCGGATAACGAGGTTCGACGGGACTTCGAGGAGCTGTTCTTGCGTGTTAGCACCTGCTACCACTACCTCATCATCTAGCTTGTCACGAAAGGTGCTACTCACACAGTATGGGATGAACAGGATGGATACCGCAATCTGGTACTGGTTTCCTGTCAGGCCCAGGTCCTCTTCGAGGCCGTACAGCCTGGCATTCCCGATGTTCACTAAGACGTCACCTTGTTAGCTGTGGTTTCTTATAGCTAACTAGTTAGCCGCGACCAGGACAAGGACAAGGACCAACCTCGATCGAGGAAGCTGAACAGATACAGGCCAACGAGAAACGGGACGATGTGCTTGTCAATCTTCGATATCAGCGCTCGCTCGCGCTTCTCATCGATGACATCGACCTGCTCCGGCCCTGGCTTCCCCTCGAGCTCAACGATTTCGTTTTCTGTATCAGTCTCTCCCTCCCTCTCTCTCTCTCTCTGCTGCTGCTCCCTCTTCCTGTGTGCGCCTTTACCGAGCTTCCGGCTAACCGACAGGATCAGACAGGGATAGCTGCTGCGATACGAGAAGGAAAGGTATCAAGAGACGTTGGCTTCTTGGTCTACCTCTCTCGCCGCAGGCCGACCTTTAATAGAGAAGAAGAAGAGGAAGAAGAAGAAGATCCCCCTCGTCCGTCCAGCGCAGAATATATAGTCCCCAAGATAGTTACCTTCTACGCCTCCCAACCCGCATTCAACTGGGGCGAACCAGCGCCCACGGCGAAATGGAAGAGGAGAGACGGCAAAGAGGGAACTTTCCCGGAGCATTTCCGGAGTATGTGGAGCGACAGAGATAGGAAGAAAATATCGGTTAGGCGTGACGGTTGCCGTGGGTGCTCAGTTTCTTACGCCAAACTAGGGCCAACCCTCTACCACTTCTCGCCCATAACTAGTGGTTAGATCTCGATGGCCGGCGAGGAACAGGAACGAGAACTCAGGCAAAAACAAGCCTTGCCACGGCGTCTGATTGGGTTGAGTTGGCTTTTCTAGAAGGCGGTTTCGCCGGGTACCTTTAGCTTTTCTCGGGCGTCTTCCCCGGATTTCGAGACTCGCTGCGGCTCTAAGGAAGATGGGAGAGATGGGAGGAGGACGACGGCTCTATTGCTCCGTACTCCCCGTGAACTGCTTAATAGGAGGGCCATAAGGACTCCCAGACTTGTCGACTTCCGGCCTGGACTGGCAGAGCTCCTTGACCTATCTGGCCCGTGGAGTGACCTACGGGTTAACTACTTGGTTGCGCACAGTTCGCCTATCGCCATCGTGCCGCGGGGAGGATGACGAAATCTCGGGGAACTACCCCATTGCCGCTAGGACAGCGAGCTCTTGATATGGCCAGCGGCGGACAATATACACAGCTGGGCGAGGGAAGACGCAGACGCATTGCTGGAGTCGGCGGCAGAGAGGTCAAGGCTGGAAGCAGAAGTACCGTCATTTTTCTGTGTATACGCCTGTGTGGATGTGGTCTCCTTTTGACTAGGTGTCTCGACCTGTTCTGCGGCGTCTCCGGACAGATGGAAAACAACAGCTTTCCCCGGAAAGCTGAAACGTTAGATCCTCAACATCCCCATAAAGCAGGAGGGGAGTCGGGCTAGAGGAGCTGCTGACTAGACCAGTCCGATATATCTAAAACTACGGCGGCTCCTTACTTATAAACGCTAGCTGCTTCGCAAGGCCCATAAGCCTCCTGCTATCGACCTCCTGCAAATATATACGGGTTGAACCAAGACAAGGAAGTACGGGCTAACAACGGTCATGCTCAATGCCAGAAACTTTTTCTGTTAATCGCCTCCTGTAGCGTTGGGCACGACATGATATCCCGAAGGGTAGAGTCTTCAGGCCGACAGCCACTCTTGAAATGTCCCCCCACCCTTTCCCGCAGCCGTTTTTGCTCAGTGAC